TCAGCTACAACAATTCTTGACACCACCCTTTTAGCAACAACTCAGACTGACTCCATCACACCAGCTCCCTCCACGGGTGGTACCACCGGCTCTCAGTCAACCTCTCCAGAAGGAGGCACTTCTGCAACAGGGGTCCCTGACACTGAGACACCTCAGACCACCTCTCCTGACACAAGCTCACCTCTTACAACAACCGGTGGGGTCATCACACCTATGTCAACTCCTACCGCAGGAGACACATCAGCTACAACCAATGTTCACACCAGCCTTCCATCAACAACTCATACTGGGTCCATCACACCAGGTCCTTCCACTGGTGGTACCACCGGCTCTCAGTCAACCTCTCCACAAGGTACTTCTGCTACAACGCTTCCTGACACTGACACACCAGAGACCACCTCTCCTGACACAAGCTGGCCTACAATAACTGGTGGTGTCATCACCCCTGTGTCCACTCCTACCCCAGGAGTCACATCAGCTACAAGTCATCCTGATAGCACCACATCACCAAATACTGGCTCTGGGTCCAGCACGGGTGCTACTCCCTCTCCCGAATCCAGTGCACCTGGTACAAGTGTTGGTGCCACCATGGAATCCGGGACAACTCCTACAGTTGGAGGGTCTCTTGACACAACTCTGCCGGAGACCACCACCCTTGTCAGTGGCACCATGACCTCTGCTCCCACTCCGTCCGGCAACAGCACACCTGTCACCTCTACTCCTGCCATCCCGACGTCATCAGAAGTCAGCACCTTTTCCACTGTGGATTTTTATCCCACCTCAGCGGTGACGTCCGCCCACTTGAGTCCACCTACAACCACTTCTGTCATCTCCACGCCAGGGCCCACCACAGCTCAAACCAGCCAGCCCAAACCTGACACACCGAGTGCTGCTTCCACCACACGACCCCTCCCCACTGTCCTCATGTCCACCACCACCGTGATGCCCCCAACCACGACTCCCCCCTCAGGTGAGCCCAGTGTCAAATCCTCTCTCCGATTTGAAACCGACCTTCTGATTCGCTGTCCCACGTTTTCGTTTTCTTATCAGACCCCAGGTCCCCACGCCTTCCTTGTGCTCTGACGTGCCTTCCATGAGATGAAGCCTTTGCACGCCCTGCCGCTCTTGTGTTTCCTTCTCTGCTTCCTGCAACCCCGCTACACTCTCCACACGTCCTGCTTCCCCCTTTAGACCCCGACAACCTCTGGTCCCTTGTGGTTTGTGTACTATCAGTAGGAGACTATTGTGACTCATACCTATAGTGTCACAGTAGGATGACACGCTTTTGTTACCTTAGAGTTTTTTATTTGACCTGTGTTTAAATGAAGGATTTTTCTCATTCGTTTTGCTCCGCTTAAATGCAAAGTTGTTTGTTTGCTTGTTTGGTGGTTGTGTGTGTGTGTGTGTGGGGGGGTGATAAGAGAAGTCTGACAAGGTATTCCCATGCCCTGGATACTCTCTTTCTGTGACCATTCATGTTGATTTTGTTTCTTCCAATGCCCTGAGCAACTGCCCCAGAGTTAAATGGAGGTTTTCTTCCGTTCTGATTTCTACTAGCGTTTCTCCGTGTTTCTCTGTCCTTAATCTCCCTCTTTCCCCTCAAACGCTCGACCTTCCTCTCTGATCTCCTCGCTCTCGTTAGGATAGACAGAATCCCAGCCTCTTCTATAGCTACTGGTTGGCCTGTGGGGTGTTGTTCTCAGATTGAGAAGAGAGAGAAAAAGAAGCGAAAGCCAAGGGAGTCTGACAAAGGCAGAGATAGGATGAGAGAGAAAGAGGGTTGGAGAGAGAGAGAGAGAGAAGGGAGAGGGAGGCCCCCAGAGGAGGTGAGCTAAAAGATGAGAGAGGAGAGGGGAGGAGAGGAGAGGAGAGGAGAGGAGAGGAGAGGAGAGGAGAGGGGAGGAGATGAGAGGAGACGAAGTCCAGTTGGGGATGCACGAGTCCCCAGTGGGTCCAAGACTCACGGCTCATCTCTCTCTCTCTTCTTTAAAGGTCCGTTGATTGGAGGCTCTTAGAACAATCCATACATCAATTGCATCAAGCATATTTGCACACAGGTTGCCATCATCATTTCCTAAACATTCACTTAGTACTCGAGCCCTGGGTGTCAGCTCCTCTTTGTTCCCTCCCGAAACCCTTTCTTTTTGTCTTGAAGCAAAGACCTGTCAACAGAGTCTGCATGATATGACTGTCATGAGGGCTGCCCTGACTCTCTGACCCGGCAAAGGGTAGAGTCAGCAAGCAGAGGCAAGGTAGGTTTGTGCAAAACACACACATGACCATGGACCTCCCCAGGAAGGCCCACTCCAGATACTGCTCCAAACAGGACCACTATTTCCAAGAAAGGCTAACGAGAATAGACCTTGGGTTTCCCAGGTTAATCGGCAGGAATATTTGGGAACTGTTTATAGCTCCTTCTGATCCACTTAACCTAAGACCTACATCTCTCCCTCAACTCTTCTATCAAATACAAAGGGAGTCATAAAAGGTCACAAAGGTAGCAACGCCCGAATGGGCTTTTCTGGAAGCAGGCATCGGAGGCCTGCTAACGAAGCTCATCACCAGGCTGGCTGGAACTAAATAGGTCAAGTTCACCTGGTCCTCTCAGAACCGCTTTCTGTTTTTCTTTTTCTCAACCTAACTGGGTTGTCTATCATAACATAACATCTCCTCACTTTTTTTAATAGGGGTGGGGGGACTTCTGGTTACATGTTGGGCTGCTAACAGCAAAGTCAGTAGTTCAAAACCAGCAGCTGCTCTGTAGGAGAAAGAAGAGGCTTGGTAAAGAGTTCCAGTCTCGGAAGCCCACAGGGGCCATTCTCCCCTCTCCTCTGGGGTCACTGTGAGTCACAGTGGACTGGATGTGGCAGTGGGAATGTAAAGGGTACAGGACTAGGACTCTGAGTCCAGGCGACATCTGGCCCCACGTCATGTCCCAAGTGGGTCACTTGGCCTCTCTCTGCCTCACCTCTCCTGTGGTCAAGTGGGACTGCTACTGACTGTAACTGTCTACTGTCCTGTTCTCTCTCACCAAGCAGGTGAGGAAAAGGCCCTGTGGCCACTCTGTCCCCAGGGAGGAGTCTCTCAGGCTTAAGAGAAGCAGTCGTGGGCCCTTCTCTAAGAGTTGTGGATGAGTTTCTCAGCTCACCCATATCCTCAGTGATTCTATGAACATATCAAAGTAGACAGTGCCACAGTCTTCCAGGGTGGCCGTAGCAACGTGGATGGCTTGAAAGAACAGGAACTTCTCCGCTCTCAGTGTTGAAGGCTAGAAGTCCCAATTTAGGGCAACTGACAAGCCCATGCTCTGTCTGTCCATCCTAAGGGAAGACACCTGCTTGTCTCTCCCGACTTTCAGTAGCCCCAGGCCTTCCTGACCTGCTAGACGCATCTTCCCTCTGTGTGTCTGTCTCTTCTATGAGGAAGTCGCTCGGATTGAACAAGAACCCACCCTCTGCTCCAGCATGACCTCCGGTCCAGCTAGCACCTTCGAAGGCCCTACTTCCAGACCAGTCGCCGGGTCTTCTGGACACTGCTCAATCCCTAACAGACAGTGCATGGAAAGGCAGGGTGCCAGTTGTGAAGATGTGTGTGCTTGAGCTATACCTTGTCCCTTTCAGTACACTGCCAGAATGGAGGCATCTGGGAGGAAGGCCAGTGCAAGTGCACCTTAGCGTACTATGGGACCAGGTGTGAGCTGGTGCGCGAGAGCATCGAGATCGGTGAGCTGAACCTGCAGGGTGGTCCCCTCCACTCCCCTGGGCCTAGGAAAGTGCTCCTTACTCAGCTTAGAGCCGAGGGTTGACTAGGATGACCATGGGCAATTTTGCTTAGTAGCAAGAAGTCCACCCAACAGACACATTGGCATATTGGACACAGATCTGTATGGATGGGTACGCTGTGCAACAGAGCGTGGGCCTTCCGTGGCATTCTGTCATCGAATGTAAGACCCTCGGGTCTCCTTGGCTTCATTCCAAAGCCCTAGGGAGTATGGTGCTCCGCTCTCCCTTCAGGGGAACTTGGGTAAGAAAATTAGAAGCCCTGGAGCCGAAGATCAAGGCAGAGGTTACAGATAGCTCCTGCCTTCTGTCACCTGGGCTGGGTGGAGTTGCTGGGACCGTCGCTCTCTTTGGATGGGGACTCAGAAGGGATGTTGTACTCAGTGCTGTCCACCGACTCCCTCCCAGAACCTCCGCCAGCGACCATCTCTGCCCAAGTAGAACTCTCCGTCAAAGTGACGAACCAGGAATTCACCGAGCAACTCAATGACAAATCTTCTCCTCAGTTCCAGAAGTTCAATGAGACATTCACCGAGCAGGTGAGGACAAGGCCCTGTGGCCACTCTGTCCCCAGGGAGGAGTCTCTTGGGCTTAAGAGTAGCAGTCCTGGGCCCTTCTCTGAGAGTTGTGGATGCGTTTCTCAGCTCACCCATATCCTCAGCACTTGCCAGGGCGCGGGGAGAAAGCCAAAGTAAAGAGCCACTGGGGGCTGCCGAGGTCCCAGGGCTCGGGCTGATAGCTGAAGAGCGACCATTCCACCCACACCGTGTCCCCCTGCAGGGGAGCTACAGAAAAGGGTGATGCATCCTCTGCCCACCCCACCCTCCGAGTCTCTAGAAAGGACCGGGTGGGTCCCGGGTAGCAGCTGTGGAATGACGTAGTGGCCCCTTGCCTTTTAGATGAACATTGCTTACTCTGGAATCCCTGAATATGCGGGTGTCAACATCACAAGGCTAAGGTGAGTCTCTGGGACTCCTGGGGAGGTGGGGAGACGAGGCTTCTACTCCCATAAAGAATTCCAGTCTCGGAATCTCCCAGGGGCAGTTCCACCCTGTGCTGCAGGGTCCCCAAGAGCCAGAAGGAACGGGATGGCAGTGAGTTTGTTTTTGTTTTTCGGCTTCCTTATTTGTGAAAGAGGTCCTTGAACGAGAAGATCTCCTTGTCCCGTCCAAATCTCACGTTCTGTGAGTAGCACCCCCAAATCTGCTTTTTCTATGACGGGACTTCAAAAAATAACTAACTAAAGGCATGTAAGGACCATGAGACATGGCCGCAAACCTGTTGAAGCCTCCTGCCTTTTAAGCTTCTGACTAAAGCATGGGGGAGGAAGCAAAGGCAGAGGCGGAGGTGGGGTCTGGTTGGCTTCGTTTTTTAGGGCGTTTTTTGGACTGTGAGGTCAAAGGAGGCTGGACCAGTTACTAGGATGCAAATGATGCTCAGGCCCACAGACCGAAGGGATTTGCATTCTGGAATACAGTCTTCTTCACCCCAGGGGACTTGTTGGGTGGCTTTTAGGAAACAGAGCAGATAGACTATTCTAACTCAGGAGTTGGCATCGGAAGAGAAACTGAAGGAAAGCAACAAGGCACCGTGAGAACGCCCCAACTCCCTAAACAAAGATCCTTTGAAACGGGAGAGGCAGGTGATGGCCATTTTAATCTTTTGAGGATCAGAGGCAAAACCGTGTGTGATTAGAAAAAAGGCAAACCGGCAACTTCAAAAGTTTTGCCTGTGGTGTTAAGGATTGCCAGACAGCCTGGTGCAGCCCACCTCTGATCGCCAGCAAAGAGAACCTCACTAAACCTTGGGTACCACTTCTTGCTCCATCCCTTAGAAACACCTCGGCAACAGCTACCGCAGCTCCTGCTTTCATAGGTCTGTTATGCCTCTCTCCCATGGATCCAACCCCTCTCCCCATCTTTATGCTAAGACTCACATCTCGGGCTGCGCAGAGCCTAGCCTTCGCAGGCCAGACCTCCTGGGCTTGGATCAGAACATTCGCCCACTGAACACTGGCTGCCATCATTTGAATACTTCTCCCTGGTCCTGCCTTCCCTTTCCCTGAGAGGGGAGAGGGGAAAGGGCGGGGAGCTAGGGTGACGCCACAGGGGTTCTCCTTTTGTCTTCTCAGGAGTGGCAGTGTGGTGGTAGACCATGAAGTCCTCCTGAGAGCCAACTTCACCCCAGAATACAAAGAAGTGTTGGAGACAGTCGCCAAGAAAGTGGAAGAAAAAATCACAAACATAACCAAAATTCAAATAGGCAATAACGTTACCTGCACAGGTAAGGACCTAGATTCCTGGGGGCAGGCGAGGGGGAAGAAAAGGGATTCTCTGGCGCAGGTCTCCCCTGAGCCCAGGGGAAGGAAGGAGAAAGGGAAGAATCCTAGGGTCTGTCCTGAGTCTCGTCGGGCAGATGGGCAGTGCGAGGGGAAGTTTTTAGTGGGGGGTCCAAAGCCAGCTTTGCACACATGCTCAGTCCAGGCCCCAACCTAGAGTGAACGGGGCAGGGGGTCCCGGGACCATCGGAACGAGTGTGATTCTTCAGCACAGGTGGTGATCTTAGTGGAGGGCGTGGAGAAGAAGGACAAAGGGGCGGCTATCCCTGTGGTGGAGAACTGTAGACATGGTGGGCACTTCCCCTCAGCGGGACTGTGTTCTCCCCTTCCTGGCTCACACTCACCTCAGCCCCTGAGGATGCTAACCGAGCTCATTATAAAAGGTGTGATCTGGAATCCGTGCGTGGGGAGCGCATATCTCTTAGCTGCACCTGTGCACATGCTCTGGTCTAGCTCGCAGTGAAAGGCAGGCCTGGGGTCATGAGAATGAGAGCGGCCAGACCAAGAGGGCAGGGAGAAGGTGGGGGAAGAGGAAACTGATTGCCATGATCTACACAGAACCCCCCCAAAAACCCACCCCCCAGAGGGATGAACAATAGCAACCATGGGGGAGGGAGACGGTGGTCGGTGGTCGGTGTGAGACATGAAAATACTGTTCATTTGTAATTCAAGGGGTCACCAGGGTGGTGGAGGGGTGGGGGGAAGAGGAGCTGATACTAAGGGTTCAATAGAAAGTCAGTGCTTAGAAAATAATGATGGCGACATGTGTCCAAATATGCTTGATACAATTGATGAGTGGGTTGTTGTAAGAGCTGTAACCGCCCCCAATCAAATGATCTTTCCATTAAATCAATCAATAAATGGTGTGATCTGTCCCTTCCTCAGCCTTGCTGTGTTTCAACTATAACGACACCGAAGTGAAAAATCTCCAAATGACCCAATACGACCCTCTCGGTAAGTGACCCGAGGGGCTCCAGGAGAGGTGGGAAGCAGGGATGCAAGGTGAGTCTGGGTGGAGCTCCCCACTTCTTAGTCACGGCCCTCCCTCCCCGTCCCTCCAGTTGAATGCCGGGAGAAGGTTGGGAAAGAGCTGGCTCAGCACTTCTTCGTGGAGTACCGGGGGAAGAAGCCCTACTGCATCACGGCCTGCATGCCTGGCTTCAATGGCTCCCGGGACTGCCACTCTGGGAAGTGCCAGCTGGAGCGCAGTGGCCCTCGATGCTAGTAAGTGCCCGCCCATCCTGCCCCCTCCTCTCCTCCCCTGAAGCTCCCACCGCTCCAGACTCTGCCTAGAGGTCAAGGGCAGAGATGGGGTCCCAATCACTCCCGGACACACGCAGCCGCAGAGGAGGCAGGTATGGCCAGCATCTCCACAGCCAGTCCAGGATGGGCCAAGGGTGGCTCCGGACCTCAGCGGCCTTCCCAGGCGTTCTCAGGGTGACACGCCAGGCTGGGAACCGGGAGCCCTGCCCCTGGGAGCACGAGCGAGGGGTGGACAGGCCTTGCTTCCAGGAAGAGAACAGCATCCCTGCTGGTGGAATGGGGCGGGGGGGGTAATGGGGAAGGGGATGGTCCTACAAGGGTATGAGGAGGGAGGGCAGAAACAGGTCGGAAGGCAGAGAAGGGCATGGCCCACAGAGACTGAGCTACATCGGGGAAGGGGTCCTGCCTCGTGCAAAGGCCTGAGGAGTTGGTCTGGGGCCGTGGTTCTCAACCTGTGGGTCGCGACCCCTGTGGGGGGATCAAATGACCCTTTCACAGGGGTCGCCCGATTCATCACAGTAGCAAAATGACGGGGATGAAGTAGCAACGACAATCATTTTCTGGTTGGGGGGGTCATGACCACAGGAGGAACTGAATGAAAGGGTTGCGGCATGAGGAAGGTGGAGAACCCCTGTTCTGGGGAGTCTTCTTGGCAGTTCACAAATCAGCAGGAGGAGGAAATAAACAGGTCTTGGCAAGGGCATGGGTGGGTGGGCCAGGAGAGGTAGCAGGGGCTTTATAAGTGGATCTTTTGCTCTGGATCTGCAATGAGGGGCTGTTTATCCTGACAAAGAGAGAAGTTGAAAATAAGGATGGCTAACGGGTGGGGGAAGGGTGACTAGCAGGTCTGCAAGCCCCTGGGGTGCCGCCCAGAAACCCCTCAGAGTGGGATCCATGGCTCCAGGGTTGCTACTGGAGACAGACCCTAAAGGCTCAGTGCCGAACACGAGGCCTATTTAAGGACCACCCTCCTGAAAGCTGTCCTTCACCCCTGTCCGTGCCCTCGGGGATCCTACCTCTGCATCCCGTACTTTACCCCCTAATTCCCAGAAGGCCTAGGGCTGAGAGGCTGGAGGCACTGGCTGTGGCACTGACTGGGGGTTGCTTCCTCTTTCCACCTGCCCCCTCTCCCCTCTCAGCTGCCTGACCACGGACACTCACTGGTACAGAGGAGAGACCTGTGACGTCGGCATTCAGAAGCGTCTGGTGTACGGGCTCGTGGGGGCGGCAGGAGTCATGCTGCTGGTGGTCTTTGCTGTGATCTTGGTGTTCATGTTCCGCTCCAAGAGAGAGGTGCAAAGGTGAGCCATGCTGCCTCCTCCTCTTTCCCTCAATTCCTCCTCCTCCTCCCGCAAACAGATCGCTCCGTTTGCAATAATCCCAGCCTCGGAGTCAACAGCGCGGGAGGCGAAAGCAGAAGCAGAGCCCGTTCCCGTGCCTCTGTGGCCGTCCTCGGTCATGACACACTCTCTCTGGTGCTTCTATCCATAGACAAAAGTCCAAAGTGTCTCACTTGTACAAGTGGCATGAAGAGAACAGTGAAGTCCCCGGGACCTTCCAGAACATTGGCTTTGACATCAATGAAGGTATTGGCAACCCCCCGCCCCCACCCCCGGGATTCAGAATGGTTGAATGTGGGAGGGCTGGAGGGCTGGAAGGAACCAACAGGGAATGCATTCCTCCTCTCCAAGACTTTTGAGTGCACATTTGAAATCCAACTCCTCCTGTTGCCCCTGAAAGCCCCTAGATGGGGCATCATCATGGGCAGAACACTACTAAACTATTGGGGGCACAGGCTGTTTGATGATGTGACTGTGCGTCTGGGGACGCAGGTTTACCCAGGAGTAGTTGGGTTCGTAAACAGGTGAGCTGTATCACAGTAAAGATTAACGTTAGATTGTGCCAGGTTCAATCTGCATGCTAAAAGTTCTAGAAGTAGAGCCTTTATATTTTCGAGAAGGAGAAATGGGAAATAAGCAAGTCTCCAGAAATAGTTTAAATTCTAAAGAAGGGGGCAACTGGACTAAGCAAAGAATTCCGTCAATCCACCAAGCGGCCAGGGTGAACCAGAAAGTGGGAGGATAAACAGAAATCCTAGAGGAAGGTGGTCGGAAGCGATGCGGGTGTATCAGTAATCACCATAACTGTAAATGGGATACGTGCTCCAGCGAAGGCGACATTAAACAAAAATCTAACTATTCACTGTGGGTGAGGGGCACATATGAAAATAAGTACACAGAAAAGGAGGAAAGGAAAATTTAGGAAAAAGATATAACCAAATCTTTGGTTGAGTAAAAAGAGTTTTGTAACCTCGTTAGAACAGGTGAGTAGATGTCAAAGCTGCAAGAATGGCTAGAGATAAGAGATTCTCCATACTTATTGACAAATGGTTTACGCTACCAGGAAGAGAGAACGAATCTAATCCGTGTCCCTATCGATACGGCTTCAAAGCACATAAAACAAAAGTGGACAAAACTGTAAGGATCAACGGGGAGACCCACCGGCATGGGAGGGCAATTCTAACGCAGTTCTCTGAGTATGTGATCGTGCAGACAGGTAAGTCAGCATCCAGGAGACGGGACGTTTGTACAACATGATGAACAGTCTCCATGTGACTGACATCTGTGGAGCGCTGCATCCAGCCATGGGCGCAGGCACTCACAGCGTAGACAACGGCTTCTTTTAAATGACCACGTGCGAGGGCATACGTCACTCAACAAGCCTGCACATTTAAGTCCGACTGCATTAATCGTCCCCAGGGCCAGCAAGTCAGAAACAAATAGCCAAACGGTTCTGAAAGAAACAAAAGCCAAAGTTTTCTACCTCGGAATTGTTTTAGGAGAAGAACAACAAAAGCAGCACAAGGGCAATGAGTGGGAATCGAGAGAAGAACGGGGAAACAGGAAAAGAAAGCAGAAACGCGGCCGAAAGGGTCAATGAGGATTTGAAAGATCCAGATCTCCTCTTTCAACTTTCCATCTCCCAAGTCCACTCGAGAGCACCAGCCAGGAAGGGACCATGTTCTAGTCGCTGTCCACTAGGGCCGGGGCCCTCTCTCCGCAGCAACTCCCTTCCCTCCTGTTTCTACAGTCCGGTTTTGAGTCCGAAAACACACTCCCAGAATCCTCTTCGGATGTTGCCCTACAGCGCTCGCTGCTCAATGGCATTCTGGGAAGACGGGGGCATAAACAAACTCTCATCTCATTCTCCCCCAACAAAAAACACACCGAGAAAACAGTGTCCGGTTTCGAAGGACTCTGGACTGGGGAGCAGAGGAAACTGCCAACAGGCAGGACTCAAAGAACCAGTGAGCCACAGATGGAGGAAAAGCACTTCTCCCTCTGTTCCTGCCCCCACCTCCCCAACCAGCTGCCCTGAAAGAAAAGTCTGTTTCCCCAAGTGCCACGCCTCCTGCATGCACAGAAAGCAAGAACCCCAAGATTCTGTTCTAAAATCAGCAAGGCGGGCCTCTCTGGGGGTCTGTTTGCAGCATACAAGCACCTCCCCTCGCCCAGGCCTTGCCAACGGCAAGCCTACTGTGAATGGTTGGGGCTGTGCAGTGGAGCCTGCTCCCCAGGGCAGTAAGCATTCTGCCGGCCACCTGCACACCCACTAGCGCAAGTCTCTGGAACCAAGGGGCCAGAGCTCTCCATCAGCTCCAGTCTGACGGCTCCCTCTTGCAAGTGGGACTGAGGACTGCTGGCCCAGGCTGCTGTGTGCTGAGAAGCAGGCCTTGTTCATGGAGGCTACCGTCACAGCCAACATACTTCAGGGAGAGCTCTGATCCCAAGGACCTCAGACCTTCTCTGAGGTCCATTTGGAGCTTGGCAGCCCCTCCTCCACACAGAGGCTGTCGCCTGCTAGCCTGCTGTGAATTGCTCCAAAAAGGGTCCTGCCTGGAGTCGACTGCCACAGTCTGCACTCTTCCTACCTCCCCACAGACGCCATACCTGTGGCCTCTGAAACCCATACGATAAGCCTTCCTGTGGGCCAGTCAGGATGACTCCGACTGCCAGCTGGCATTGAGGAGTGCCGACGGACGCGTCCGTAAGCGTCCTTGCTTTTTAAGAAGCAGCTATCTTGGGTAGAGACGGCACTCGCAGCCAACAACCTACAGGGAGGGCGGTGGTGGGGTGTGGAGGAAGTGTGGGGAGAGCTGACAGTAACAAGGCAGACCTCCGTGGGGATCTGAGCAGGGCATGGCACTCCCTCCCTTACCTGGATAATTGTTGACTGTGAGGCTGTTGCAAACTGTACTGGGGCCTCCTCCAATAGCTAGCACTCTGTCTGCCTCCCTGTTCACCCACAGCTCAGACCTCTGGAACCAATGAGACAGACTTCCGTGGGCATCTGTTTGGGTCTGTCTGCTTTTCCTGATAGTTGGCACTGAATACAGCTGAGGGTCCTATACGGTAGGAAGCGGGCATTTGAGAGGAGTCTACCCCGACCGTCAACTTACTCAGGGGTGGGATCTGATCCTAATCAGGCAGTCCACCCGCCCCCCACCCAGGTGATCTATTTGGAATGTAACTGCCCATCCCCCAACTGGTAGATGTCAGCCACTAGACTGATACAAGCTCTTCAGGAGCTTTCCGAATGTGGTGTTGGGGAATGGCTCCCCTGTGTGGACACGGATCACCCAGCCACTGCAGGGCCACTGCAGCTCTAGAGCAAACAAAACATCTTCCAGAGAAGGATCCTTCTGGAGTGTTCGACCCCCTCCTGAAACAGAGGCACCCCTGACTGTCAGCTCAGATTGAAGCTGCCGCCACAGAGCAGCGAGGGCATCCTGGGCAGAGCTGTGGGGCAACATCCGAAGAGGATTCTGGGAGTGTGTTTTCTGACTCAAAACCGGACTGTAGAAACAGGGGGGAAGGGAGTGGCTGCGGAGAGAGGGCCCCACCCCTAGTGGACAGCGACTAGAACATGGTCCCTTCCTGGCTGGTGCTCTTGAGTGGACTTGGGAGATGGACAGTTGAAAGATGAGATCTGGATCTTTCAAATCCCAATCGAACCACAGTGGGGGAAGAAGCTGTCACAGAGAGGGGGAGGGGGTGGCAAGTGACACCCGAGGCTCTGCCCACCTGAAAGTTTATAGCAAAACAAAGAACAAAGCTGATTCTGTAAGAATTTCCAGTGGCCAACCAAAACAAAAGGCAGGAAGAAGCACAAAGCGCCGAGGAACAGTGGTCCCTCCAGGTGGGCGTGCTCTGATGAAACAAGTGACATCACGTCCAAGGAAGACCAAGCAATCTCTAAAAACGACGTTGCAACACAAAGAGGTTCCGTGTGATGAAACGAGGACCTAAAATAAGAGATTGCGCTGAAATGGAGCAATAGCTAAAACGAGAACCAAAGCAGAAGAACGTTACCAACAGTTAATCAGGCAGAAGGGGAAACTCAGTGAATCGGAGGAGAAGAGAGCTAAAAGCATGGAGTCTGAAAAACAACGAGAAGGCTGAGCACCCACGGTTCACTGGGTTATGAGACAGAGAACTAACGCGGGAGTCCAGAAGGGGGGCAGAGAAAGGAACAGAAAGAATATTTGCCAAAATAATGACAGGAACTTTCCCCAGTCTAACAAAGAACATGGCTACAAACCCAAGAAGCTAAACAACAAAACCTCTCATTCACGAGAACCTCACTGCCATGGGGTCACTTCTGACTCGTAGTGACGCTATAGGACAAAGCAGAACTGCCCTATGGGTTTCCAAGACGGTGACTCTTTATAGGAGTAGAAAGCCTCATCTTCCTTCCAGGAAGCGGCTGGTGGTTTTGAACTGCCGACCTTTCGGTTAGCAACCCAACGAGTCACTCTTATGCTACGAGGGCTCCTCTACATGAAAACACATCACTGTTAGGCTTTCAAAAGTAAAGCTGGAGAATCCTAAGAGCCGTGAGAGAGAAGCAAACCGTCAGAGACAAAGACACCGGCGAAGTTAATGTCCAGGTTCTCCTCAGAAACACCGGAGGACAGGAAGCAATGGAATTACGTATTAAAGGAAAGGAAAGGAAAGCAGCCAACCAAGAACGTCATACCCAGCAAGACTGTCCTTCGAGACTGAGGGTGAAATAAAACAGAAGCTGACAGAGTTCAGATTCACCAGAGCAGCCCTACCAAAAAATACCAATGGGAGGTCTTTAGAGGAAAAGACATAGAAAATAATTTAAAGCTAAACCTTCCAAAGAAAGATCTCTAGGAAAGGGAACTACACAAACAAGTAGAATGGCTAGTCATGAGGGCTTCGTGTTGATAATTCTCATTGCTTTGATCGTCAAGTTTTTTAGTCCTAGATATATAAAAATGGATTACCAGCAAATGAGATATCCACGCATAATTAGTGGGGACTACAAGTAATGGGGGAGGAGGGGAGCGGTGGATGCGCAATGAGTGGTCTGTTTCTAAAGCGAAGTTCATCACAAGTTACCTGAGGAGATTATGAGTTCTGAAGTGTCGCCGCCCCTGCAAGGCATCTGTTTAAAACACGTGCAAAGGAAAGACGAAGGGAAGCCAGAGACTCACTACAGTGACCCAACAAAGCACAACGCAAGTCACACTAAAGAACAAAAAGGCTTAAGACACACACACATAGCAAAATAGCAGAAGTAGTCCACTTCTTTCCAGTAATTGCAGTGAATCGAAGTGGACTAAATGCTCCAAACAAAGGACACGTAGTGGCAGATTGTATTTTAAAGAACAAAAAAACCCCCAGCTATATTCTGTTTACAAGAGACACATTTTAAACCCAAGGGCATAAATTGATTGCAAATGAAAGCTTAGTGGGGGAGGGGGGGAACCCTCTCTGTAAGTAGTAACTAAAAAGAGAGTTACGGTGGTGATTTTAATATCAGACAAAGTAGACTTTTAGACAAAATCCAAAAGAAGAAATAAAGATGCCCATTATATAGTGATAAATTCAACACAAAACTCACTGACTTCAAGCCAATGCTAATTCAGAGAAACCCCTTGTGGGTTTCCAAGACTGTAACAGTTTAAAGGCTTAGAAAGCCTGTCTTTCTCCCAAGGAGCTGCTGCTGGTTTTGAACTGCTGACCATTCAGATCACAGCCCAATGCTTAACCACTACACCACCAGGGCTCCATCTATAGTGATAACAGGTCAAATAATCAAGAAGATGTAACAATCACACACACACACACACACACACACACAAACACGAACACACACACACATATCTATACCCAACAGCCAGACATGTATCAGAAGAAGTAAAGATGCACATTGTATATTATCAACGTGAAGGGAGAATTAGAGCCAATCCCAAACCAAGCCCACCATCATTGAGCTGAATTCTGACTCACAGCAACGTCACAGGACACAGGGCTTTCAGGGTGGGGAATAGGTGCAGCGGCAGACTGCCACCTGTTTCTCCTGAGGCACAGCTGGTGGTTCAAACGGCCGAGCTTTGGGGTTAGCAACCAAGCTCTTACTCACTACACCCCCAAGGCTTCTCAAAGAGCGCTGCTGTGGTTGGGTGCTATTGCATCAGTCCTGATTCATGCACAAATCCAAAGAAGGAAGGTAAAGAGGGAAAAAAAGGAAGAAAATGCAAGGCAGCCCAGTTGAAAAATATCAAGATGTTAGATTCATAGCAGCAAGAGAAGAGATTTTGGCCGAGTGCCTCGGTGGTCACATTAAACGTGAACGGTCTACGTTCTTATATTCGAAAGTAGAGATGATCAGATTGGGTTTTGCAGAAAGAGAGACCCAACTCTGGGCCTCCTTCGAGACATCACTTTCAGTGTCAAGACAAAAATTAGTGAGTACACGGATGGAAACATATACCGTATTAATACAAAAGAAACGTGGAGTGGATGCATCAAGGTCAGATAAAGCTGACAGCAAAGAGGAATACCAGGAACCAAGCAGACGCGGAACGATCCCATTGGTCTGCCCCTGGGCATGGCAGCCCCACTCCTTCAGCTTCAGGTGGCAGGCCCATGTCCCAGCCCACGGAAACATAGCCTCAGACTTCCTTTGAATTAATTGAATGTGGAATTTTAAAAACCTGTGCTTTTTCACAGTCCCACACAACCAATCACACCATTTACGAGGTCAGATCGATTAGAGAACCAGTCGTCTACCCAACAGATGTCCAGTTCCTTAGGAAGTGTGGATGGGCATCCACCTCTCCCTCCAGTGGACGGGATTGGAAGGCAGAGAGAGGGCTTGCCTTCCTAATCGCCTGCTTTGTCTTTCTCCTTCTAGAACAAGAGGAACCTATCAACCTGGACTCCATCTACAGTAAATTCCAGCCCTCCCTGAGCCACATCGATCCTGAAACAAAAGTAAGAAGGGCCCACATAAAATGCTCACTCCCAGGCACACACCGCCACCCCCACCCCCCCACCGCCAGCCCCTCTCTCCCCTACTCATCTCCTTTTGGTCCGGTAAATGGGTGGATTAGACTCGACTTGAAACATTTTTGTTAAGAATGCATCATAGATATAATGCTACTGCACCACATCATGACGTCCGTAACGTCTAAGATTGGTCACTTTCATTTTATTTCAACCAAATGCCTAGAGGGATTGGCTTCAAGCCTTACACTTCCTAGGAATAGTTTTGTGACAAAGGTAAAATCCATAGCCGGTGTCTCTTGAGGCCTACTGGACTGGGACAGGATCCCTGGTGGGGTAGCGGGTTGCGAATTGGGCCACGAATCGCAAGGTCATCCATCTTTGACCACCATCTGCTCTCGTGAGAAAGACGAAACTTTCTACTCCCGTAAAGACTGGCTTTCGACTCCCGTAAAGATTTACAGTCTTGGGAACCCACCGGGGTGGTGCTCCTTAGTCTTCTGCGTTGGCACGACGCAGTAGCAGGGAGAGACCTGGCCAGAAGAGGGAATACGGTTGGTTTGTGTGGGACTCCAGGTAACAGGACAAAATTCAAGTTGACCACTTCCCAGGTCAGTCCCAAGCCTTTCCTACACCCAAATCTCAGGCTCATCATGGTTCAAATCCTCACCTGACTCTCTCTTTGCAGATCCAAACTGAGAGGCCCCATGTAGTGATGACATCTATGTGAGGTCTCGGCAGTTTCTCGTGGATCTGCGGAGCCCAGGAAGGAAGGAGCACCTTCTGCTGAACTTCCGTCCACCTCTGCTGAACTTGGCATCTGCGGGGCTGGTGTCGCCTCGCACAACCTCACGGCCACACCACCCCTCCCCCACGGGCCTTCTCCTGTATTTGGCGATACAAAATCCTTAGCCATGCTTATTATCAATTTTATCACAGAATAACAGGCGATGCCTATAGTTGCAAAATACTCAAATGTCACATTTCTTAGATCAAATGAATACTAAGAGAATTGCCCTGCAAAATCTTTCTCCGTTGAATGGCAGCACTGTTGCTAACTGAGTTGAAGCACGTACTATTGCCGCTCCTTCTTGCCCTTTAACGACAACTTCATTCGGAAAAAGAGATACGGATGTAGGTTCACAGCGGCCACTTATCGTAACATTGTAGCGAACGCACCGGAACAAAAGTCGGAAGTGCCACGCCCACTGGCTGCAACAGAAACGCAAAGTCATGGGAGTCGAAGTCTCCTTGTAACCGGGTGCCGGTGGCAGCGCCGACAGGAGTTTGTGAGCAGGTTCAAAAACCAAGTGAGCACAGCGTTTGAGCCTCCTACATACACGGATATGTGTCCGTGGGCTTACGAAAATGTATTTGCTGTTATAACGAAACTACAGGGCTATGCTAATAAAATTAATAAATTTCTCGCAACCACTGCACAAAGATCTTGTAGACGGTCATTCTGGGCTTACTCCCTCAAGCAATGTCGCCAGAGGCCAGTGAGGCCACGGACCTGGAGGGGCGTGGTTTCCTCCTGGGGAGCACTCCACAGGAAGCTGATGAGCAAGGACCCTGCGCTTACCAGGAGGAGGGACCACAGCGCGAGGACACCCTCCGGTAGCAGCACTGTGGTGGGTTGGCCATGGTCTCCTGCGAGGCTCCTTTCCAAAGATGTTCTTCTTCCCCCAAGTTCCGTTTCAGCACCACGGACAGCGTGTCACCCAACTCAGAGTAGTCCTCCCCTCAGCACTGGCCTGCACTTTACAGTTTACAGAACACCCTCTTCAGAGACATTCTATTATTTCCTTCCTTTAAAAACAAAAAATAAAAAAAAACAACCGTCGAGTGTTTTGTTTTTAAATATATAGTGTTGACTTTGAGGTACCTGGGAGTATGTATTTTTGTAAGCACTTATTTTTATCGATTTCTGGTTTTTGGAATAAACACAACCATGTATTTATGATATTTAAAAACAATAAAAAAAACTTTATGACCATCTTCACGGCTCCCAGACTTTTATGCAGTCACTCTTCTATACATGGCCCCGTTTCTCTCTTGCCAGCCTCTTGCCCCTTCTCTTGCCCGGGGCATAGGGTCTGGTGAGTCTGGGCCTCAGGACAGCAAGAGGGAAGTCTGCAGCCAGGACGAGTCCCATTCCCTGACCGTCCCCGGCATCATCTGAGGAAGCCCCGGGACGGTGCCCACAGCCACCCCCCTGGCACAGGGACTCCCTCCCTCCTGGAGGCCCCCGGGTCTGCTTCCACAGGAGGGCTGATACTTCTTTCCTCAGAGCTGGAGACTTGTAGCCAGAGTCCCATTTCCACCTTTGCCCTCAGTCACATGCGGCGAAATTCTTCGGACTCGGGCTTGTCTTTGGCTGAATAAGATTCTTTGGCCGCTGTGCTTCTAAATCGTTTCAGGAGCTCCTAGGAGCTCTGGGAGGGTCGTGGGTTAGGTATTTGGGTGGGCTGCAAACTACAGAGTCAGCAGTTCAAACCCACCAGCCGCTCCCAAAAGCAAGTTAACATCGAGTGTTAGCCTCACACTCATACGGACATGTGTCTGTTAGGCTTATGCAAATGTATTTACTGTTATAATAAACTGACAGGGATGACTACAGGGCTATTCTTAGAAAATCAATAAACTTCTGCTTACGCTCCGCACAAAGATCTTGTAGACGGTCATTCCTCCCTGGGAGGAAGAGGAGGCCTTCTGATCCCATAAGATTTGCTTCCTTAGAAACCCCATGGGACAGTTCTACTCTGTGCTAAGGGAGCGAGTCAGAATTGGCTCAATGGCGGCGACATTTGGTCATGATTCCACCTATGGAACTCAGTTTGTCTGGAAGGTCTCACAGGGTCTATGCTGCCCCCTCATGGACATCCAGAACACTGCAACCATGGTCCATCTCGCCACATTTGCCATCAAAATTTCTTAAAACCCATCACCCAGTCTCTTCCCCCAGAAAGGCCACTAAAACTGTGTGGCCCACATTTTTTTTAAAGCCTCCTAAAACTGGGCTGAATCCATGTCTGCCTCTTTCCCATGGCTTAGCCGCCCCCCAGGCCGAGGCTTCCTGCAGCTACTGTGGATGGGGACAGACAAGGGCGTGACCTTGAAGCCGCAGGGTTCACTTGGATTCTGTGTTCTTTCCGGCTCTCCTCTTAGGTCTGCTGCTCAGAAAGGTGGGAGAGAGTGGCCAGGGACGCAGGACCCACAGATCCTACTCTTGACAAGCCATTCACTAGCCGCGTGAGCTAGGGGAGCTTCCGCCCTGGATCCTGCTGCCCGCATGTGTGGATCCCACGTGAGGATTTCTGGGAGCATATTCTCTTTCTGTTTTTGAAAAGAAGGATTGTGAGTCAGGTGCAGGTTTACAGAGGAAATCCGTTGTTTACCCCTTGGGGAAGTCACATAATCTCCTGTCAACTTGGGCGAAAGGGTGGAGTCTACTCTATCCATCAAGGCGCAGCTTGGCCTAATTTTGGAGGCGAGACAGAGATAAACAGCTCCCTGGAAGCCGGACCCACTCTCTCTGCCTTCCCTTTCCTACTGTTAAGACACTCAGAGAGCTGGAGGAGCCACGTGGAGACCCACGCTGCCACCGTTGAGATCCTTCCACCGCCACTGGATCCACAAGACTTTCCAACCACTGGCCTGTGACCTTCCTGCATTCGGCTTTATTGCATGGCTCTGTGAGTCTAAAGAGGAATTTACAGACTAGTATCGGACATATAGGCTAATATCAGACTTAGGGACTTGATGTGGACACGGCTGGGGTGTTTTCTCAATATACAATTCTCTTTGATATAAAGCTCTTTCTGGTACACGCATGAGTGTCTCTGGATTTGTTTCTCTAGTCACACACCCTCAATGGTTCGTACTTTTGTTCCATGTCACAGATTACAATCCCCACAATGTGACGGCAAGTATCCCGCTTCCTCCCTATGTGTCCCCTTTCCACTCCTCCTCCCTTCCCTCACCCTCTGCTGCCCTTGTGATCTCAAACGGTTGGTTATTCTCAGGAGCGCCCTTCTCCCTAATGTCACTATCCACCCGGCAGACCTGTACATTTGTGGGGTTGAATATTGCACCCTGGGGGTGAGTTCAAGCCCACTCCCTGCAGGATGTCACAAACCCGCAGGTCTCTCTCTATCTCACAGGTAGGCCCAGGTCTTTCTATGATTTTATTTTGTTCCAAATTCCCCCTCTCTTTAGGGCAGTTGCAGTGGCAGTTTGGCACCATCTGTTTCTCTCGTTTCAGGATCATGGGGGTTGAGAGGTCAATAAATCCCTTGGATTAATTTCCCCCATGAGTTTTCACCTTCTTCCCTCTGGAAAGAGAGACAGCAGTAGTTGCACCTGGCCAGGCCATCCACAAGCTTTTAAGATGCTAGTTGCTACTCACTGAATGTGTTAGTCCAGGGGGACTAGAGATACAAATCCAGAGACAATCATATGTGTATAAGAAAGAGCTTTATATACAAGAGCAATTGAATATTGAGAAAACATCCCAGCCCAGTCCAGATCAAGTCCCTAAGTCTGATATTAGCCGTACGTCAGATACCAATCTATAAAGTCCTCTTCTGACTTGTGCAACACATGAAATTAGGCCGAATGCAGGATGATCACAGGCCAGTGGGTGGAAAGTCTTGTGGATCCCGTGGCGTTTTAAGCATCCCAGCACTGGCAGGGGTCTCCACGTGGCTCCTCTAGTTCCCAGGGCTCTGGCTACATCAGGTTCAGGTCAGTAATGTCTCACAAGGAATGAGCCTACGTCCCGTCTCCGGAGAGCTATTTATCTCCTTAGCGCCTCCAAATGAGGGCATCAAGCTGCGACCTGATTGACAGGCTAACCTCCACCCCTTCACTGTTAGTCTCAAATTGACAACAGATGATGTAACGAGCACACCGAAGGAGTGTGTGGGACACTGTCTTAGTAAACGATGTGATGTCAGTTATGAAGCAGCCCCGGGTCCATGCATCGCGGCAACGAACTGGGCTGATAACCTCAAGGCCAGCCGTGTGAAGCCACCAGCCGCTCTCTGGGACAGAGAAGAAACTTTCTGTCCCATAAAGAGTGACCGTCTTGGAAACTCCCAGGGGCAGTTCCACCTGTCCTCTAGGGTCTCTCTGACTCGGCGTTGACTCGATGGCTGTGGGTTTGGTTTGGGTTTGCTTATTTGCGTTGACCTTACTGTCCCCGTGGGACCATAGTCCCAAGGGCCACCCCCCTCCCGCCCAGCCACTCACTCTCACTCTCTAGGCGCTTGATTGTATCTAACAGAGTTGTATAACTTTACCCTCCTGTAGGCGCCCCCACACTCACATTTGCAGCAGAAGCAAAGACACAAGTAGAAACATTCTCGGTCAAGTCTGTACATTTTCCTGGGTAGAGTCCCACTCTCCCTCGCACATCCGCTTAGCCGGCACCTGCCCAGGCACCCACGTGGCGATCACCACTGCTGCCAAGCCGTGTTTATAACAGCATCTGCCTCCATCGCCTTGAACGCGTTCACACCGTGCTTGCCTTTCGCGCCAGCCTTTGTGCCGACTACTTCTCACACACAGCATGGGTCACATTCTCTAGGCAGCTGCGCCTGCTCTAGCGCTGTACCCAGCAGGCAGTGGTGTTTCCCTCACGGCCAGGATTCAGGGAGTCCAGGAGCCGAAGGGGTGGAAATAGGAGTGGGGCCGCCCATGGTTGCCCCTAGTGATCCATCAGCAAAGCTCTCCTGGTTTCCTGTTCCCATGGTTTATGCTCTGCCTGCCCAAAGGGGGATGCTGCTCCCAGGAACTGCAATAACGATCCGGGGACCTGGAGTTTAAGATGCTCCCTGGCCAGTTTGAGCTCCGCGTGCCTCGAACTTATGTTTCGGCAGGGATGAATGATGGAGCCTAATTACCACAGGGAAATTGGACAGCTGCTAGGTAAGGGAGGTAAAGAAGGGTGTGTTTGGGCTTCGGGCGATTGCTTGGGGAACCTCTTTGCACTGCCGTTCGCTATGATAAAAGTGATCTGCCCAGTTCAAGCAGGCCGGCCAATGGCTCAGAACCTTGGGCAAGGAAGGCTGGCGCCATGCCGCTTCTATGCCAAGCGCTGTCCTAAAACAGCGCACATTTCAATACACTTAAACCTCCCAACGATCACTCCCACCACAGATGAGAGAACCAGGGCTAAGAGATGTCCAGCGACTGGCCTAAAACGACCCGGCCAGAGGAAGCGGTGCTGGGGTGGCAAGGCGGAGAGACGGGAATGGAGCCCGCGGTCTTGGCCAAACGCCCTCATGGTGGGGCTGTTCCTGCAATGAGTCAGGTTCATAACCTACCAAGAGCGTGCAACAAGGCCGGGTGCCTAGAACATTCTCTAGAAAATCATTTGTTTACTTTTAACTTTTTTTGGGGTGGGGGGATGGGTAATGGTTTTTGATTTCCAGAATAATCGAGCAGATGGTACAGAGAGCTCCTTACCCCCACCCCTACTATCTCCGTGCGCCAGCTCCCTCCTCTGCCTCACGCTCAGGAGTTGTCGAGGAACACAGGTTCTCGAGGTTGGTGTGTGTGGGCGGGTTCTTCTTGCTTTAGGTCACTGTAGCTCATTCGTGAACGCTGTGCTCAATGACGGTGGTTTGTCATCCACAGCTTGCTTGAGCTCAGGAAG